AGTGCCGTGGCGTCAGCCTAGCTCACAGCAACCTCACACTCCTGGGCTCAAGCGATCCTCCTGCCTCAGCCTCCCGAGTAGCTGGGACTACAGGAATGCGCCACCATGCCCGGCTCATTTTCTCTATATATTTTAGTTGTCCAGCTAATTTCTTTCTATTTTTTTTAGTAGAGACGGGGGTCTCACTCTTGCTCAGGCTGGTCTCAAAGTCCTGAGCTCAAAGGATCCGCCCGCCTCGGCCTCCCTCAGAGTGCTAGGATTACAGGCGTGAGCCACCACGCCCGGCCTACTTTTTTCTTTAAATCATTTTCTCATGTTACTCTAAGTTCTGTAACATCAGTCTTAATGCATACTATTCTATTATGGGATGTATGTTTTATAACCATTTTGGGACATTCAATTTGCTTCCAGTATTTCGTTATCATAAATATTCTGCAATTCACATCTTTATACATAAAAATTTTTCAGTATTGCCTTATTAAAGACTTTAGGTCGCCAGTCAAAACAAATCAATTCATTCTGCCTTAAGAAAATGTTTTGGTTTACGTAGCAAAAAGCTAGGAGTGGATTAGCTTCAGGCACAGCTAAATGACGGCCTCAGGAATCCATCTTTCTCTCTTCTGGACCAGCTTCCTTCTGCACTGGCTTCATCCTTAGGCCTGCTCCCTTACTTGGTCTTCTGGAAAGACAGCTACCCTTTTCCGATAATTCCCGGTAATTCCAGCAGAAGTCCAAGGAGGGAGGCTTGTCAACATGACTGAGGTCAAACACCTGGGGCTGAGCCAGTCACTGGGGCTGGCAAGGGAATGTTCTGGTTGGCCCATAGGACAGCCCTGCCCCTTCCCCACCTCCCCACCTCCCCACCTCCCTCACTCTGCATACCCAGCCGTCTCTGCTGTTCCTTGAGCCCACTGCTCTTGCCCCTCCACACTCTGCCCCAGGATCCCTGGGACCTGCTGCTCCCTGGGTCCCACTCACAGGCCTTCCCGGGCCCCTCTTCGCACTCCATTCTCTCTCCCTGGTCTTTTATAATTCACAGACTTATTACCACCTGACATTCTGTTTTATATATTCATGCAGTATGATTGTCACCTTCACAGGAACAGTGAGAGGCAACACTGTTTGCAGCTCCGTCCCACACTCAATAAATATGCATCAAGTGAGTTAATGAATGAGGTTGCCAAGCCAAGTGCGTACCCATCTGCAAAGTCAGCCCACTCGAAGGACAAGAGATGGTTGAGTGAATAGTGTGATTCTCCAAAGAAAAAATAAGAAATAGCACAGACATCACCAGAAAAGGAGACTTGATGCTGGGCTGCCCAAAACACGGATGTCAATTCCAACCTCGGATCACTTTCTAAAGCAAATCCCGGCAGTGGGAATTCAAAGGATATGAAGGTTTGGGCTTCCTGGTAAGTACTGCTTCCCCTTTAGCCACTCTACAAAAATTCTCCTTGTAGCAGATAATATAGTGTTTCTTAAATGCAGATCACATCATACCTCTCCCTAACTTAAAACTGATAGCTCCCCATTGCACTGTGAATAAAAGAACTCCTCTCCCTGGCGCCCAGGCTGGAACTGGTCTAGTCTCAGCCTTACTTCTCTGACCGTCACGCGCCCCTCCGCACACCCGGCCCCAGCACACTGGCTTTCTCTTCTGCATGGAATCCACTCATTCTTACCTCAGGACTCTCATATTTTCTTTTTTTTTTTTTTTTTTTTGAGACAGAGTCTCACTGTGTTGCCTGGGCTAGAGTGCCGTGGCGTCAGCCTCGCTCACAGCAACCTCAAACTCCTGGGCTCAAGCGATCCTCCTGCCTCAGCCTCCCGAAAAGCTGGGACTACAGGCATGCGCCACCATGCCCAGCTAATTTTTTCTATATATTTTTAGTTGTCCAATTAATTTCTTTCTATTTTTAGTAGAGACGGGGTCTCGCTCTTGCTCAGGCTGGTTTCGAACTCCTGAGCTCAAACAATCCGCCCGCCCCGGCCTCCCAGAGAGCTAGGATTACAGGTGTGAGCCACCGCGCCCGGCCTCATATTTTCTCTTCTTCCTGGAAGGTCCTTCCCTCAGGCCTTGGCGCAAATGTCATCCTGCAAGAGGCCTTCCCTGGCCACTCTAAGGATGCTCCTCTTCCAGCCTCTCCAGCAAACACAGCCATGTCTTCTTCACAGCACTCACCACTCTTTTTTATTTGTTTCCTGTTTGTTCTGTCTTTCCCATGTAAGCCCCATGAGATCCTTTTCTCTCTGTCCATTGTTGTGTCCCCAGAACTCAAACTAGTACCTGGCATGTCAAAGATCCTCAATAGATATTTATTGGAAAAAAATTGACAAATTGCTAATTTACAAATCAGCAGTAGAAACACACATTTCGTCTCTCACTGAGGCAATTTTCTTTGAGTGCAACTCCAGAGATGAATTCTTTTGTGTCCTCACTGCATGAGTCCTGGAGGAGCGGCCATGGCACCCTGTTCTAACAGGCCAAGCTTCCCAGCTGGACAGAAGTCAGGCACACTCGGTCACAGCCAGGTAGGCTCCAAGGCCCTGGCAGGATTTTACTCTCCCATCTAGTTTAAATATAGCCTGAATCTTAATCCCCATTATGTAAGTGACAAAAAGATTCCTTTCTATTCCAACCAGAGTCAAGGGAACTTTGGCAATGTAACACTGAGTAAAAATTAGTGAATAATTAGCTTACGTCTCTGGGATATGGACAGGCATAATTTCTCTGCATTCCCATCCCAAATTATCCAATGCATTAGTATTTTGATTTATAGAACTCTCTTTAATCTGTTCATTGTTAACATCAGAGTGCATGTATTTTTGTATATTTATTTTTTTAAAGCACTTTAAACTTTAAAAAAAGTCTTGCAAAAAGAGTTGATCCATATAAAAAGTATTTACTATAGAACACCAAAGCACCTTTTTATCAGGTAAAAATCCCTGTAACATATATCAGATTATACTAATCCAATTTCCCTTTACCTGAATTTCTGTTTGAATACAAAATAATAATCTTCATGTCCTCATCTGTTTCAGGCAAATCTTCAGCATTGCTCAACTCGAGGATCATAATGAATTCCGCAATAAAAATTTACTGTGTTCTTTAAAAAAAAGTCCAATACAAAGTTTTCTAGTTTAAAAACAGCACCATTGGAGGAAGGGGATATGTCTAAGTTCAAATCACCCTAAGTAAGTGATTTACCAAAATTCATGCAAACTCAACATTGATTGGTTGATTTTTTTTAACTCGCGTGATCTGGGGTAGAAAATTAAAAGAAAGTGAAAAAACAAAGCAAAACAGTAACTGAAGGATTGAAAGATAAAGACAGACAGACAGACACACACACACACACACACACACACACACACACACACACACCCCTGCCAAAGTACGTTCCTTGTTTTCTGCTAGTTGTGTCACCAGTCAGCGACCTCAACCACAAAGGGCGTTTTCACGTCTATCTTGCCACTGTTGACAATGGAGCAGTTGGTGAGCGGACGGTCATGCCCATCAGTAGCTTGGAGCTCTATGGAGTGCACCACTGTCTGGTGAGAGAAGAGTAGGCACGTGGTTCAATTCTGACCAGCAGCTATGGCAATCCAAAGGTAAAATTAATGCTAACTCCAAAAGCCCAAGTGTGAAATAAGTTTTTTTTAATGACTACAAAAACCATGCAAGCTAACTGTGGGAAACTTAGAATGTGCAGAAAATATATACACCATAGAATAAAATTCATTCACTACCTTGTCACTCAGAGAACATATTGGTCTATTTCCTCCCTTCTTTTTTAATAAGGACTTTATATTAAAAAATTAGATATTTTTGTAAACGCCTAGCTCTAATAAAAGGCACTTCTATTCATCTGCTACTACCTAATATAAGAGTTAACATGGAGTCTGAGTCAGTTCTAGCTCTACCCTATGATAGCTCTAGGCATAATAAAATGGGCTGGAAAGCAAATTTAGAAGTGGACCTACTTCTGGGTTTGCCCATTTTAAAGGAGACCCCAAGCCATCAATCTACGGGTTGAGTCCAAATACTAATGTCGCCCCAAACCCACAGTGGTGGAAAGAAGGCCCTTGGCTCTGCCCTGGAAGGCCTCACAAGTGTGTCACACTGAAGGTGAGGACTGGTCGAGGACCAAGAAAGTAGGCTTTTGATGGCTTTCCCAAACAGGGCTGAGTCTGCTGGCTTGGTTCCCGGACTTCTGCTGGACAAAAGCAGAATAGCAGGTAGAGAGTTGTGAAAGAAATATAGAAACGGGCAAGGGAGCCGAGGATGGTCCCGGGCTGGGTTGGGCAGACTGTGCAGCTGCCAGCTTAGGAGCCGAGACAGCTGCTTCAGGCAGTCGCTGAGGAGAAATGTCGAGAGTAAAAGATAATGAGGATTTTAAGGAGTGTTCCTGTGGGTTATGAACTGGACCCCCTGGACATTCTTTGAGACCTCACAGTACAGATTTGAACTCTCTTTAATAATTTTTGGTTGCTATCTGTGTGTCTTTGGATGTGACTTGGTGTCTTCACTGAACCACATGAGGGTTCTGTTTTTTAATATTTTATGTTTCATTGTAGTAAGAAACACAAAATGTATCATCTTATTCGTTTTAAGGGCACAGTTCAGTAATGTTAAGTATATTCACAATGTTATGCAGCCAATCTCTAGAACTTTTTCATCTTGCAAAACTGAAACTCTGTACCCGTTAAATACAACTTCCCACTTACCACGCCCCTGGCAGCTTCCATTATACTTTCTGTTTCTACGAATGTGACTTCTTTAGATACCTCATGGAAGTGGAACCATACAGTATTTGTCTTTTTACAACTGGCTTATTCCATTTAACATCCTCCATGTTATGGCATGTGTCAGAATTTCCTTTCTTTTTCAGACTGAATAATAGTCCATTGTGTATATATATGGGCCCTGGTTTTATTTGATTCCATTAAAAGGGGCCTTCTATTTATATCAAGTAGTGAAATAAATTAAGTACTTAACTTCTCCTTGTCAAGTCCCTAGCTGCTGCTCCAATGCCCCTAACAATTAAAATGCCATACACACATAATTTATTTACCTTTGAAGAAGCCAGGTATAATAATGGGTCTCTAACAAGCACATTTTAAGATTAAAATAAATCACTAACAGTACTCTCATTAAAAACATAAAGCTTTGAAAGAGAAAAAACATACCAACTTACCATCCCATCGATGACTTTTCCAAATACCACATGTTTGCCATCCAACCATGTGGGCTTGGTCAAGGTGATGAAGAACTGAGAGCCATTGGTGTCTGGCCCAGCATTGGCCATGCTGACCCACCCAATGCCGTAATGCTTCAGCTTGAAGTTTTCGTCTGGAAACGTCTCACCATAAATGCTCACACCTGGGTGAGACAAAAGGAGGAGGAGGAGAGTCAACAGATGTCACACAAAAGTAAACTCTTCAAAGGGAAACGTAAGGCTTTAGTGGAATCAGTTAATAGAACCCTATGGGGGTAGGGATGGGGAAAAGGTGTTCAAACACAAGAAGTAAAGGAGGGGATAAAATTAACTCCTTAAGGAATCAGGGCACCAGGGCCTAAAACAAACAAAAAGCTCTAACTGTGGCACAGGATGTCAGAGTAACCTCTGGCCACAAACCAAGGGCCAAACTGTGATCAAGCAGATCAATGATGTCACTCCGGAATGAGAAGGCACTAAAGGGCAGGATGACCTCCTAAAGCCAGAGGGAAAGGTGGGTGAGCCATCCCAGTCTCTGCTTCTGTCCTGAGGCTGAGATTACTTGTCCTGGGCTGCTCCTACCTCAGCACCCAACCAGGGTGTTCCAAGCACTCAGTATACACCCCTAGCTAATTCCCATAACCGCCCTGAGGAACAGGTATTCTCAGTCCCATTTTACAATGGGAACAAGAGGTCAGAAAACTTAAAAATGGCAGAGCAGCATTTGAACATCTGACTTGCTGACTCTAAAGCTGGTGCTTTTTCTTTCCTCAGCACCAAGAGCACCAAGAGTCTTTAGGTACGATGACTTCAGGGCTCGTCACAACACAGAGAGTGATGGCAAGTGGGGGTGCCCAGTGATCAACCTTGAACAGGAGAACCCAGGGAGGCATGTGGTCTGGAGTTCTAGCAAAGCCGCAGGCAGAGCAGACCTTTCCCCATAGACCATGAGAAGTGTCTGCCCATTTTCCAGTGCCTCAAGGGCCCGCCATGCCTGCCTCCCCTTCTGTGGGGCTCCTTACCCATCAGTTGCCAACCTCAAAACCCTGGCTCGGTGAGAAGACCCAGAAGTGGATCTCAGAGAAAAACAATTTATAACTGATTGGTCAGTGACAACTGAGGTGTCCTGGCAGGAGAGCTCTCCCACAGAGGGGTCTAGGCTAAATTTAAATGGTCCAAAAGTTTCTCTCTCCAAAATTCACAGACTTTTAGACACGCCCACACTGGGCAGGGAAGGTAGTGAGAGGAGAACAATAGCAGAAAGAGTAAAGCTCGGTCAGCACTCCTGCTGGCCCTGGGCAGGAAGGTGGGACGCCAGCACTGAAGGCACAGGCCCCAGGGCTACAGGATTTTCCGGGAGAGCCGGGGTTGCTTCCATGAGCATTCCCAGCAAACCCCATTACCTGGAGTAACCTGAACACAGTTCTTTGCTCCATTCTACATCCCTATACCCTGCAGCATTTTTGCAAGAACTAAAAGTAATCTTCACAAAGTGTGTGACAAACCAAAGCAGTTAATGGTAGCCATTTTTGTTATTAACATAAATGAAGAAACCACTGCAATAAATATAAAATTAGAAATAGTACCTGAAAATGGCCTGTTTCTTTAAAAATTGACAATTAATATCCACCAAAACCAGTATTTGCTGAATCGAAAATCTTAAACCTGAAGTCAATTTAAATTCTGTGTAGTTCCATAAACAGTGTGTGTTCAGGAAAAGAACTCACTACATTTCTGAGAGAAAACAGTCCATGGAGCTGGGTAGCTGTAATCCTCAATGTGAAACAAGCTGAGGGAGACTTGGAACTCAAGAAATTTAATTATTTGTACTTTATTAAACTCAAACTTTGTTTATAAGAATTAGTTCATATTGCAATTTTGACAACTCAGCTATTACTGTAATTTTTTTTTTTAATTACTAAATAAGCTGACAATAAAATGAACGACTCTTGAAAGAAGGCGGGAAAATGCCGGTCTCCCCCCTCGCCCTCCTCCCCCAACACCTGCCTCTGCACACGGCCTTAAGTTCTCTACCTCTTCTTTCCAGGGCTGCAGACCAGTAGTCTAGCATTTTAATCACTGCAAAGTACTCTGCAAAATGAATATATCTCCACCGTGGAAAGACAAAGAACACCAAAGCAATCCCGCTTCAAATCGGGACTCCTCGCTCATTCACACCTACCAAGCTTCTGGTAGATAAGGCCCTCAAAGCTCTATCCTTCTTAAAGAATTAGAGTTGTCTTTATGACTTTGTTCCTTAAACTTGGGGTTTTAATATACTGGGTTAATATATTGGCTTAATCTTAGGTTTCCGCTGGGCAAGTGGGAAAGGAGAAGGGCAGAGACCAACATTACCGCCAGTGCCATCTCCAGCGGTGAAGTCACCTCCTTGAATCATGAAATCCTTGATGACGCGATGGAACTGGCTTCCTTTATATCCATATCCTTTCTAAAGAGATTATTTCCATGAAATACATAAGCAGATATAACCCATACTGAAAGATAAACCCAGTGTTTATCTGGGAATGACACAGTGAGACCCCCAGCTCTACAAAAAAGTAAGAACAAAATGAGAAAATTAAATAAAATATCTATAGAACTTGATTAGGTCCCAGCAGTGATTTACTGGGAAAAATTTATCATTAGCTGATCAAAAAATAAACCAACTACAGAAGTAAAGTATTAATGTGAATAAGAAAAAAGAGAGCAAAGTGCATTTTCACTTGATGATTATTTCCCCCCAATTTCTAGAAGCCTTAGGGCACTGAGTGCCTGAATCGTACAGATTTTATAGGAAAATAAAGCAAAATATGACAAGATGTCACAGGTTCCTCTGACATACTAATTTAATACTTATTGTCCCAGACTTCTTTATATTCAGCTTAAAAGCAAGAAGATCCAATTTTGTGCACAGTTAAAAGAAATAAAACCAAGATCTACCTCTCCTGTTGCTAGAGCAACAAAATTTTCCACCGTCTTGGGCACAACTTTTCCAAAAAGGCCAATCACAATTCTGCCAACATCCTTGTCTCCAATCCTCACATCAAAGAAGACCTGTGTGTGGTTGAAAGGCAGAGTAGAAGGTTATAATGTGGAAAAGCCACAAATACAAGGCAAGTCAAAATTAAAATCTGAGAATTGATCCAAATAAGAAGGCCCTGTCCACCAGTATTTTATAAAGGAGTCATGAAGGAGCATAATATCAACTAAAGGTACTCTAAAACCATTGCATGGGTGCATTTCACTCACAAATATTCATTCAACAAACATTTATTGAGCACCACCCATGGGCCAGGCACTGTTCTAGGTACTGAATTTAAAGTCTTGTCCAATACTATTGGAGTCAGCCAACAAAGTCTTCAAGAATTCTTCTCCCCTCATACGCCAGACAAATATTGCTGCTACTTCCTGCTTCCTGGTTTTGTGGATGAAGATCAGAGTGGAAAATGTGGCTCTTTTAAAAGGTAATGCTAGGCCGGGCGCGGTGGCTCACGCCTGTAATCCTAGCTCTCTGGGAGGCCGAGGCGGGCGGATTGTTTGAGCTCAGGAGTTCGAGACCAGCCTGAGCAAGAGCGAGACCCCACCTCTACAATATATAGAAAAAAATTAGCCGGGCATGGTGGCGCATGCCTGTAGTCCCAGCTACTCGGGAGGCTGAGGCAGAAGGATCACTTGAGTCCAGGAGTCTGAGGTTGCTGTGAGCTAGGCTGACACCACGGCACTCACTCTAGCCTGGGCAAAAGAGTGAGACTCTGTCTCAAAAAAAAAAAAAAAATAAAAATAAAAGGTAATGCTCTCTAATCTGGCAGGAGAAAAAAACTGGTGAGGAGAGAAAAGGGCTAACCATCCAGATTTATTTTTTTGTAATTTCAAACAGTGCCAAATTCCCAGTGAGTTCTCAATAGATGTCTGCTATCCAAGAAACTGTGAAAGATGATGAAACACACAGTGGTCCTTCAAATGGCCTGCCACTCGCATATGGGCATAGTACGGCACCAGGTCCCTGGCCTCATCCAATGGACGACAAAACTTACGCTTGGGTCCTGACAAAGCCATTCACCCTGCAAACTCAGATGCTGGATTCAGTCCTCATGTTCCCAAAGTTACCCGAGAAGAATTTATTCTTTCTTTACCACAATGTTTTAGAATAGAAAAAAGAAAACATATATCTAGAAGTGAGTGTGTCTAATTTTTGCAGATTAAACTTAGAAGTTCTCTCTTTTAAGCTGTTTCATCTGAAATTATATACATTTTGCTTTACAAATCACTGTGTTACGATGATTCTGAGACAGACCGCCTGAAAAGGCCATGGAGTCGAAGGGCATTCTATTAGCGAGTTTAGATTATATGAACCAATTTACTGTTTGAATGGGTAAAAAAAGACATTCAAGAGATGGCTTTAAAAAATATAAGAAGGGTTGTCAAAGAAAAAAGATGTCTTACAGTTTAGAAAAATCGCTAAGTAAAGACTGTCAAGCTTTAGTTCAAGACAAGAGCTTCTGCCAATACATCAGTACGTCTGTCACTGGATGATGTGGTATTTAGTGTTCCATGTGGCATTTTAAGATTTTTACATGGCCATAGCAGCAAAACTTTTATTATTATTTATATAGAAGTGCTTTATAGAATGCATAAAAGGCCCTGCCCTGGAGACGAGGCATGCAGAAGAAAGCAGTTCAGTGTGGCTGGGGGTAGGAAGCTGCTTCCACACCCGTGTGAGCCCGGTCGGTGCAGAGCTGGTGTCAGAGAGAAGCAGTGTCTCCAAAGGGATTTCCAAGCCAAGGTGAAAATTCAATAACCGGCAAAAATGAAGCAGCACCGGAAAGAGAATCAGGAACATAACCTTAAAAGACACCAGAATCATATAAGACACCAGAAAAGCCCCCCAGACTTTTAAAGTAAAGCAGAGAGAATAAAGCCTGTCAAAGTTTAGAAAGCAAAGAGAATAAATCTGGGAGAGCAGCATGAGAAGATGAAGGAAAAGAACCTGTTACCCAGCATAACCCTTCAATAAAAATCTTACTTTTTTACACACAGCCTAGCATACATACGAATACGATTTTTCCCCAAATTGTAGTATCCTTCATGAGTGAATGCAAGAAAATACGGTTTTCCCAACTCTAATGTAAAGGATAAAATAAAATCTTATTTAGTCAACAAACATTTACTGAAGATCTATGTAAAAGGCTACGTGAAGGCACAAACTGCATGAGGAAATCCCTGTCCTAAGGTAGCTTAAAATAAAGAGGTAGGATGAGCAAACGCGTAACCACAGTACAGGGCAGCATGTGCGGGGCCGGAGAACACTGCGTACCCAGGCTGAGGACGGGCGTCCTGGAGGAGGCAGGATGGGATGGGACGCCGGCCTGGGAGGAGGGGCGTAGTTTCCAAGGACAAGAGGGCACAGGCCCTGCCCTGCAGAGTTCTTTCTGGGACCAAAGCTCCAAGGCAGGAGTGTGGTCTGTGTGCAGAGAAGCACTGCAGCCTTTCTGACCACAACAGGGGTTGCGGGAGACCGGGAAGGGAGCCACCCACCAGTTCCAGAAGGCGGAGGAGAGAATGAGTTTCATTAGGCAACAGAGGGAAGGGAAAGAATAGGGCCATGGAGGCTTTGGGAATGTTACCCAAGCGGGGAGAAAGAAAATCTGGAGGCTCTTACTCTAGGATCACAATGGCCTGCACTGGGGTGGGGACTGAGGGAATGTATGGTGTTGGGGAAGGGGGGCATTTAAATAAAGGGGGAGAAGCTGGAGGAGGAGGGAGAAAGAGGGAAGGAAACAGGCACAAATATCTTATATAATTAATCCTCACCACACCCTGGAGTGGGGGCAGGAACTATTATTAATTTACAAATGAGAAAACTGGGAATGAGGGCAGTTAAGTGATGTGAGAGCTGGAATCTCAACCCCAGGCTGCCTCTAGTTAAACTGTGACCTATCATTAATAGGCTCTCCCAGTCTGGGCAGGGATCCCCTAAGGGGTAGAAAGTGTTAGTTCCCCCCAGTGCCTGGCACAATGTCAGGACAAGCAGTTAGGAAACGTTAAGGGGTTCAGTGTGGACTAAGCACTTTATCTGTGATGGTTTGGATGTTGTCGCCCATTGAAACCTCATGTTGAAATGTGATCCCCAATGTTGGAGGTGGGGCCCAATGGGAGGTGTTTAGGTCATGGGGTGATTCCTCAGGGACAGCTTGGTGCCATTCTCCAGGCAGAGAGTGGAGGGAGGGAGTTTTCTTTCTATTGGTTCCCAGGAAAGCTGGTTGTTAAAAAGGGCCTGGCACCTCCCCGCTTGCTTCCTCTCTCACTCATGTGATCTCTGCACACACCAGCCCCCCCCTCTTTCACCATAAGTGACAGCAGCCTGAGCCCCTCATGAAATGCAGGTGCCCAATCTTGAACCTTCCAGCCAACCA